GAGGGAGAGAATAGAAGCATCCTTTGAAAACATCCGAAGGACACCTTCCTGAAAAAACCCTCTAACAAGAGGATTATACATGAGAAACTGCATGACTTCTGTACCAGGTATAGTCTTTGCCCAGATGTGGAAATGTTGAGACAAATCCGGACAGAAAATTCTGAGGAGCACATCCCATTGGGAGAAAAAATTGTTGGACAGTGATCCTAACCACAATATAAAATAATTTCAATCTCCCTGATGAACAAAATGTGGGCAAAAAAAGGGATGTGCACAAGGTGTAGAGTGGCTAGAGAACCGACATCCACACAGGGATAGGATGAGGATCATACTGTTGGTAAGTCAACTGCATCCAAAACTTGACTGCCGGGAACCGATATCCAGGCAGGTGTAGGAAAGAGGATCATACCTTCATGACCCCAAGTTCAGTTGACCAGAGGGAGAAATTCCCACCACCGCTTGAGGAACAGGTCACATGTGAGCAGAGCAAAATACATAGATATCCCATTCAATCAAAACAGACCAGATCACCTCAAACACAGTAACATCCTCAGCATAAAAACATCAATGGTTAGCACAAAAGGAAAAAGCAGAGCAACCAACAAGTGCACCCACCACATCAGAGCAGTGCATTTGAGACGAAATGAGTGAGGTACCAGTTAACCCTGGAACATGTGCGAGGAGGTGATTAGCTAAGCTCTAAATCCAAAACTCAACCGCTGGGAAACCGTCTTCCATGCGGGGGTAGGATGAGGGATCCCAATCGATGGGATGAACTGCATATATGCCAACACCCCACATGTGAGAGTACATCATGTCGATTGGTTCAGCTCCAAATCCAAAACTCAACTACCAGGAACCAACATCAATGTGGAGGCAGGATGAGGAATCCCAATCGTCTCAACATGGTTCAGCTCTATATCCAAAACTCAACTGCTGGGAACCGACTTCCATGCGGGGGGTAGAGTGAGGGATCCCAATCATTATGACAGCTCACTCCAAAGTTATAACATCCCCTCTGAGAAGGATGCAGAGATGGAGCATCTTTTTGGAGGATTTCTGTCAACTACACCAGCAGAACACCACCATCCTACTCTCAAGTGAATAGAGTAATCATTGTTTATATTGTATATCTTACATTCAGGAGGATACCTCCCTGGTCCACCACCCCAACAGCTTGGATCTGGTAAGAACTCTCTTACTCCACTGGAAGAAACAGAGGAGAAAAACGTGGTGGAGAGTATGGAAGAACATTCACACCATGAAACACTTTTATGAAAAGCAGACGAAACCCAATTTATTCAATTCAAGGAATAGCAGAGATGGGCAGTAATCCCCTTCTGCTTTACCCACGAAGTCCATGGGTCAGTACAGTCTGAAATGGGGATATTTAGGAAGCAAGTATATTGCGAGGAATAACCTACAAGCGATCTTGCAGAAATCACGATCTCTAGCATATGTGATAGTAAAGAACAGTGTACATTTAATAGCCATGGAAATTATGAAAGTGAAGTTAACACAGCTGTTCAGTGCAGATTTGAGTACAAATCTAAGTGACTGAAGTATACCTGGACAGGCACCACTCACCATAGAGTGAGATCCAGATAAAAAAATGGAACAGGCACCTGAAAAATATATATATATAATGAAATAAAGAAACCTTACACAGTTACAGTCACACTGATGTCTGAAGAATGGCAACAGGTGGAAGATGATATCCCGATGAGGAAGAAACAGCAACATGATGCAAATAGTGAGAGATGAAAGTATGTGGAGTGGTCCACGTGCCCACTTGAACAATTTCCTCCAAAGAACAATGCAGATGAGGTACCAGGGAAAAAGTAAGGATCTAGAGACCATTCCATCAGATAAATTTTGTCTGGCAGGAAACATGATAAGCGACAAGGTTGAAAGCACCCAGAACATAACATGCAAGTAGATGAATACTGTGTGTGTGGGCCCAAAAATGAAGATCCAACGTTCAACAACAAAGGGGAATGGGTGCCTCCCTGGTGATTGATATATGCCACCACTGTAGAATTGTCTGTATGGATCATAAACAGATGATTGTGGGCAAGATGAAAAAATGATCCAAAGCCCAATGGACAGCAAGAAGCTCCAGGATATTGATATGGTAAGACTGTTTGGTCACAGACCATTGACCTGAAGCAACTTGCTGCTTGACCTTTGCCTCCCAGTCATGAAGTGTTCATGAAAAATGTGTAAATCTGGAAGAGGGGGAAGAAGTGGAACCCCCACCAAAGTGTGAGCCTTGTCCAACCACCAATGCAGATCACCTACAAGGGAAAAAGGAAGGGTAATAGAAATATACAAGGGACCCCATGCAAGGTTCCACTGATTGTAAAGAGTCCATGAACTCATATGAACACGATAAGTGCCATCATATAGGACCACATTCCCAAAAAAGTTTGGACCTTATGAGCAGTAATAAAGGGAGCAGTAAGGAGTTAATGACTGCCAGCTCCAACAAATGGAGTCAAAGAGGATTTCTCCAATTTAATCAACCAAATGTCCCGAGCCGCCTCCAAAAGAAGCAGACACGTGTGTCGGGTGGACTCCAGTTTGGAATGAACCAAGAGAAGCCAGTCGTTCATGTAATGGTGGAAGCACAACTCTCAAGCATGCATAAGTCCAGCAAGAGCCTAGACCAATCGACAAAAGACATATGGTACCATAGCAAGCCCGAAAGGTAGAGCAAAAAACTGATAAACCATCCCATGATGAACAAACTGAAGGTAGCATTTCGACTGCCGAAATATGGGAATATAGAGATATGCATTTGAGACATCAACCTTAGTCATCCATATACCTGGAGAAAAATCCCACCTGAGGGTGAAAAAACGACTCCATATTAAATCAAGGTAGCACCAAGAAGCAATTGAGGCATGATAGTTCAATCACAGGACCCAGTCTCCGGTTTCTTGGGGACAACAAACAGCCTAGAATAAAACCCTGGAGAAGGGAGAACCACAGGTTCGATGGAATTCTGAGAGAGAAAATCCTGTACTGCCTCAGACAGATGCTATGTGGTAGGATCCCGAGGCTATGGAAATGGAAACGGGTATCTGAGACAAAGGAGGAGGGGAGAGGAAGTTCATGACAAGTTCCTTGGATAAAACCTGAAAGACCCATAGATCCCTGGTAAAGTCTCACCATAGATGAACAAACTAAATAAACAAGCCCCACCAGACCGGAACACACATGGTAATCACTGATACTGTTGGCGGCATGGCACTCAGCCTTGGATAAAATAACAAAAAGAAGATCTTCTAGTGGAAGGAACAGGTAAGGGTTAGTAAGGATTAGGATGGTTAACAGAAATAGGGGATGTTCGAGGTTCTTTGCGAGAAAAACGATCAACCAACGAGGAAAGAGTCAACTGCTGTCTCAAAGATTCCATTCAGGATTCCAAAGTTGCTAGAAGATCTCCAAACACCGATCGATGGAGAAAAGGGGCCAGGCATAAGGCCCTAAGATAAGGAGATGGCAACAAACATGGGACAAAAACACATCTCTCCCAAAAAGATCCCAACAACATTGGAACCATGTGTGTAAAGAAAGAGCAGAAGACAACAAATGTGCCAACAAGGATGTAATTAGGGCAATTGTATCCCCCGAAAAACTCTCAGGATCTCAGTGGATTACTTTGGAGAGGAGGTGTATGGTGGACAAGTACCGTAAGATAGACGTGAGGATAAGACAAATGCAAAAAAACTGAGCTTTGAGACAAAAAACAGGACAATCATGGTCCACCCTCAAAATTGGTAAAATGGATTCCAGTTGCTCAGAGTCAAGGGACGGAAAATTGGCCTGACGGTAGGCTAAACCAAACCTCATGTAACTGAGATACAAAACACTCAGCATGAACCTCGATATCAGATGGTGGAAACACAAAATACTGAGAGGAAAGAGTACCATATAACAGGGAAGGAAGAGGATTATAGGAAATTGGGGAGAGGGATAAAACAGAACATACCTGGGAAATCATGTCCAAAAAAGCCATATTAAGCCTAACAGAGCCCACAGTAGCAACTTGGGAAGACAAAGCAAATTCAGGTGGAGGAAAAAAGCTGTCAAATGCTTTGTCATCCTGAACAAATTTAACTTGTTTAAGAGGAAGTTGGGCAACATCATGAGAAAAAGGTTGGCTCAAATAACTATCAATCTCTCATCAAATAATTGCCGATAATTCTAAAGTCAAGTTCTCCCCACCTGAAGCCTGAGTAAATGTACTGGTAGAAGGTGCAATTTCGAACAAGATAGCTTGCACTTCAGAATTCATAATGCAAATGAAACCAAATACAACTGTGTTAGTAAAGAAATAAAAGCACAGAAAAAGTTTCGTAACTGGGTAAAAAATTAAATAATATCATGACTGAATGAGATACAAATGAAAACTATTTAAAATAAGTAGGAAACTTGAAAAATAATCAATAAAAAAATTCAAAATCTGAAGAGAGAAATAAATAAAATGTCTGAACGTGAGCACAGCCGAACAAGAAGCGATAGGTAGAATAGCATAAAAGGAATCACGTGTGTAGGGGGCACGTCTATTGGTGGAGGTTTGTCGCATGATAATTTGCATGTGAGAACTAGTTAAGCCATGTGAACTGAGGGGTACGAGGGAGTGAAAGGAATGTGGCATGTAAAGAAAACTTTGCAAATAGAGGCAGCACAGAACAAGAATAGTATGTGAGTGAAAGTAAGGTACCTTGTATGAAATTACTATGACTTTTTAACTACCAATAGCTTTTAACCTCATTTATGTTTTGTGCTTGAAAGAAATATTTTCCAAAGAGATGATGATACAAAACAAAAACAAACAGTTTACCTAAACTTCCATAATAAAGTTTAATAATATATACCATTTCACAAGTTGAATTTTGTTTAACTACCATATTTTGATAAAGAGACAGTTAAGTACATATAAATCTGTAATTTTGGTAACTACAACCATCACTACTAAAACTAGTGATGACTACAGTAGCTTATAGTGTTAGAATTACAAAATTACCAAAGATGCTTTACATTTCCTTTTTATTATCAATCAGTAACTATTTTCACTTTCTACAACTAGAACAAATTGACTGATCCAAATAATGCAAAACTACACAATAAATTATGAATAAAAATAATCATTTCATTATACTCTATGATTCCTAAAGTACACTTCTTAAGACATTGGCAGTGAAACAGAAAAAGAAAGTTACTTAAATACATTTAGGTTAGATGTATGAACTGTACTTCCATGTAACTATTCAGTTAGTGTAATGATGTAAACAGAAAATTGATGTAGTGGTACAGCATGGTTCTTTTGCAATCAAGATTACACTGTTGGCAATGAAAACTTATAATGAACAGTACTTTTTTATGTTTGTTTGAACAACATAGGTACAGTCATCAACAGATTAAACGTGCAACACTAAAAACTTCCAGATATTTCAACTGATATTTTAGATATTTAGAAAACTTGGGCCCATTTGTATAATGTACAATAAATATAAGTCTGTTTTGAAAAAATTCAAATAACTACACCTTAAATGAGAAAGTCTTATAATATATTATAATTGATGCTTATAGTCAACAATGGTTAATACATAAGCAAAAAACAACAATTATGTAAACTATTGATGTTCTTACTTTGCTGTGTATGCCATTTGTATTCATGTGCAACTTAAACATTAATACAATACACTAATTCCTATTTTTTCCCTTCAAATGAGGTTCTCATCGCCAATAAATCTATGCAATATTTTTTTCCAGTTTTATTACATTGCAGTGATATGATATTGCTGTACAACATAAGAAATTTAAGTTAACATAAAGCAATTAATCTATATTAACAAACACATTTTTTTAAGAAACTGAGAAAAATTTATTAAAACTGAAAAGAAACCACTGAATATCACATTATTTTTCAAAAATTTCAAAAGCAAAAAAATAAATAAATAAAAAATCACCCTTACTTTTGAAGACGATGAAGATTCTTGTAACACAGATGATGGACGTAAAAGACAAAGGATGTCCACATTACAGACAACAATAATATCATAGGCACTACAAATACCCTGAAAAAAAATCATGTAAAAAAGGTTGTTTTTCACAGTCTTTACAATAATAAAAGTAAAAATAATTAGCTAAGCATAAACCTAACTATCAATGTTGATTTTTTACTTATCATAAAATGTTTATTAGGTAAAACAATAGAAGCATTATCTTAAGTTTTATAACTGTACTGAATTAGATATATTTCTCCAAAAGGTAAAGAAAATTTAGAAACCAAAATCATTAATGCTTTTACCTTGATGTAAATGAAATATTTTCCATAATTGAGAAAAGCTTTTCATAGTTTGCTTGTTACTCATAATCAAGACTATTTATTGTTAACTGTAATTATTATTGTAGAATTTTAGCAGCTATTCTGGTAGAAGTTATTACATAATACGAAAAGTGAACAAAATGTTTTTTATAAAACTGTTGAGACCCCTCAACAGGAAATCTTGCACAGAATAAAAAAAAAAAAATAACTACTGAAAGTAAAAATACTATGGATTTATTTTTTTATGTTTGCTTAAAAACAGTAATTTAAACAAAATTGTAAGAAAAAAAGAATAAACTATTATATTCCAACTTACAATTACTGTTACTCCTTGCTCCTTGCAAAGCATTGCACTGCCTGCAAGAACTAGACTCCATCCTATCCAAAGAGGTGAAAACTGGGAGGGTGGATCATTGAGATGGTGATGGCCTTAGAGAAACAAACCAGCCTGTAGTTTTATCATATTAAAAACTAACACAGCAATCATACCAGCCTGTAGTTTTATCATATTAAAAACTAACATAGCGATCATACCAGCCTGTGGTTTTATCATATTAAAAACTAACATAGCGATCACACCAGCCTGTAGTTTTATCATATTAAAAACTAACAAAGCGATCACACCAGCCTAGTGTGACTCATGTGACTCACTTTCTCTAGGTATCTTCTCATCTCTATTTTTTCCACCATCCCCTAAGGAACTACAAAATTAAACATAAATTACTCACTATAAAATCATCATTGCTCAAACAAACCATATTTTTTATAGCCTTCAATTTTGTTTGGTTACAGAGCTATTAACTAGAAAATCAGACCCCTCCTGCCACATCCTCTCTTTCAGGAATTGTTAATAGTTCTCTCTTACATTTTATATTACCTATAACCAATAAAAAGTCAAGGTTTTCATCTATCAAATGACATTCTATAACGTTGTGTTTTGAACACAGAATAGTCAATTTCACTTCTAATTGAACTTTGGTTCCCATAGAAATCACAACAGCTAGCTTGGATGAACTTGTAACGACTCTTGTCGCATAGTTAGAAAGCCAGAAAATTTGTGATTGTTAGAGGAAATTGTCTGCTTTTTGCATGTAATTAGTCTATGTTCTTTGGTGCATTATATAATTAAATAAAAATTACTTAATGCACAACTACCATTAGTATAGAAAAAAGCAGTGTTAACTGTCTTCGACAATCAACTGCAAGAAAAAAGATTTGGTAAGTAATATACTTCTTGTTTTTCATGTTTATTCTTTATTATTATAAAAGTAACTAAAATGTAAAAACAGATATCTCTTTAGGTCAGTTAAGGTTAAATTAGGTAAAATAAACAATAATAATAATAATAATATAATAAAATATTTCATGAGGCACATAAGTGAGCAGCTTGGAGTAACTTGTGGGTAATGTAATTCAGTAGCATAACGACGTTCCCCAAGTGATTTACAATTTATAATAGTATGAATAGTAGTTAGACAAAAAGGGCAATAAAACAATAAAATTTAATTACAAATAGATGTATACTGTTACAAGTTCAAAGCTATCTAAGATAAATGAACATAGTTTCATGCTACATTTGAAGTCATTCTAGAAAGAAAAGGAGGGTAATTTAGATTTTTTTATGGGGGGTTATGAGGACAGTCAAATTGACCAATCTTGAATAGCGATAGGGTAAGAAAATAACAGATAAAATACAAAGTTTTATAGATTACACAAATAAAATTTCAGATCTTTGAGATTGAGAAAAGTATTTTTAATCATAACATGAAAATCATTTTGCACACAGAATATTCAAAACAAATACTCGATATATTTATGCATAAGTCTTTTTTTAGTTTATTAAAAATACTTGACTGGAAAATATGATTTTTTGTATGTGAAAAGCTTATAATGTTTACTATAAGACTGCCAAATTTTGTGAAGATACACACACTATATCAAAAGTTAGTAGTATCAAATCTATAAAGGCTTTATACGAGTACAAAAAGGTCATGTGGTTGGTCAAATTGACTGAGCCCGTGTGGAAAGAGTTAATCAATTACATTTACCTAATCAATTATTCTCCCACAAAACTTGGATAGTTAGAATAACTGAAATTAATAATAATCAGAAATACTAATTTTGATTTGCTTATTTTCATGATATTAATCAATTTAATTGCAATATTATGTGACACTAATCAATGCTCATCAGTAATCAGTTAGATCAATTAACTGAGGTAATCACCTTACTCTAAACATCATAATAAATTTACAAAATGTTCAACACAGGGAATAAACACTTCAGCTGCAGTGAAAGGATTAATACTAAAACATACCACTTTTTGGGAAGCAAGTGGGGTAAACTGGAGATCTTTTTTTACACATCTTTCTGTTCAGTGTCACTTGCCAGTAGGAACAGAATACATATACAAATTGCAACAAAACTTCTTTCTGTTGGATGCAGAAGCCAACAACGTAATTCTCTTCACATCAGTTTGTTTTCTTGTTTCTCAGTTTGTTTTTCTTGTTAAGCACAAAGCTACATAATAGGCTATCTGTGCTATGCTCATCACAGGTATTAAAACCCTGACTCTAGAGTTATAAATCTTCAGTAATATAAACAGTATTTTAAACCCTGACTTTAGGTAATGAACACTACTCTCTGATGAGATGGTCTGACAGAAAAAGAGTAACTGAAATATTTTTGTAGACAAAAAGTACTTGTACTTACCTCCAGAGGATGTGATTTTCTTAAAACAAATATTTAGAACTGTTATTTTGGTAATTAAAGCATTGACTAGGTACAATAAACTTTTTAATAATTTATGATCTATCTTTTTTCAATATTTAATGACTTCCTTCAAAAAAAGATTTGTAGAAACTATAAAACAACTAATTCAGTGGTCATCTAAAACTGTTACTCATAAATTTAGAAAATAACTTCAGCCCAAATCCTAGAAGTGAAGAAGGAGTAGGGAAAAACCACAACCATCCACGTATTATGATAATAATGTTGTTTTTGGCACTGTATCAATGATAAACAAAAACAATTTATATACTCACTCTCAACTGACTTTGTGTAAGCCAGGAAAGACAGGATGAAAAACAAAGCACAAAGCAAATCAGCTCTTCCTACAACTCCTGCAACCTATGCAAGAGAATGTAATTATTACATTGAGTATAAATATGGTACATGTTGGTGTACTTATAGCTTAATATTCCAACAACATAATAACATCAACAACAAAATGATGCATCTTAATCAAGTATGTGTGTGTATATATATATATATATATGTATGTACATAGACTAAATACAATTAGCCATAAATATGTGTATATATATATGTATGTACATAGACTAAATACAATTAGCCATAAAAAACAAAGACAAAAAAGTAAATCACAAAATAGTATTAAATGATCAAATTTCCTCTAAGGAAAAGTTAAACACTTAAGTACACTTATTACAGATTTGATATTGCACATTAATACTGCTAATTGTTTTTGTGGTGACTACACAACATTAGCTTACTTTCCTTTATTATATCTAACAAAATTTTACAATTTTTATACTTATGTTCTATATTTTATGTATCAACTGATGTAATAATGTTGTCACGTACTATTAAAACACGAATAGCAAAATATTTTCAGGATATATTTACTAAGCAGCACTTTGCTGAAAGTCTGACTTCACCTGGTATGATAATAAAGCAATCATGACCTAGTCATGCACACAAATAGGTATTCTTTCTTTTCTGTTTTGTTACCTCAGCATTTTTTGTGTAGAGTGAATGGTAGTTAACATTTGCAATATTAGTAGTCATATATAATGGAAAACTCAACATTACAAGGAAAGTTTAGTATGTTTTGTTTTTTGCCGAGATTCAACACTGAACTATAATTTGGAGAGAATAATTTAGGTGACCATAAGCACTAAAACAATTACAGGATAATCAATATTTGTAATATTATAGCTATAGCAAGGCAAAGGCATTGTTATAAAATAATTTCAATCACCACCCCCCTCTCAGTTCACTGTTATGCAAATCAGGCAAACTATATGCAAGTGACTGGTCATTCAATCTATACTACATATAGTAGTCTCATTAAATATTGTCTCAGTTGCCCTTTGAAGTAAATTGCATGGTTTAAATTGCTCCAAATTGTTCATGAATCATGGCTATTATATTCATTGGACAGTCATTTAACAAATGAAATCCACCCAATAACAGCAAGCTGTTATGAAATGACTATAAGTGTTTCAAACTTTTTGGCAGAATGCATAACTGTTTCCAAACCAATGATACAGTTCTCAGACATAAAACTTGGCAGACAATAATCAAAAATCAACATTTTCTTAAATCGAACATGTATTTCCAACAATACTTACTACTCCTCACACTTACAGCAATTACTCGACTGCCAGAGTTTCTTCCTTTGCCTATCTAAGCATTGGTCCGATTTTTTCTCACTTGCTCCAGTCTTTTATACCCCACTTAATTGCCCTTGGCAATTTTTATCTTATGACTCTCTCCACCTACGTCAATGCGCCCTCTATACTGACACTGTATATAAGCACCTCATTCAGATAATGTTATCACTTTTTTCGAGACTGACCCAATCCCAGCCTCTTAGTGGGGAGGAAGGGTGGGAGTGAAGGTAAGTATTATTGAAAATACATTTTTGATTTAAGAAAATGTTAACTTCCAAAACATACTTACCTCTACTCACACTTACAACTAGAATCCCATATTGACAAGGTTGAGGGGCCAGTGAGGGCTTTATCAATACAGAAAATGTCTGCATAGATCATGGGTGTGACAATAGAAGATTGGCACCCTAATGGGGGAACCGCACTACAATCAGAACTGGTATGCTCTTCACCCAGAACTTAATTCATGTACTGTGTGTGAAATTTTACATGATTTGTCATCACTATTGGCAAGGCCACCAACCAGACACCCAAGGTTCCACTACTTGGGGTTAGAATTAAGGGGTATTGGTCCCTATATTCAGTCTGGAATTATGAACATTCATCCTCACTCGCTAACTGTGTGGACAAGGTACATTCAACTTACCCCCAGAATTATGAGAAGGATGTAAAAAATTGTGCTTAACCAAGGACCCAGGATGGGACCACCCTGTGTTTGGAATTATGAGGAAATAGTGGACCCTCTTCCAAGAACAATGCACTGAATCTATATTGTTCAAAGAGAAGGGCTATCCACACCCGGACTCAGAATGACAGGATCATGTATGCCTTACTCAACCTGATGAAAAAGAACTCATCCAGTCTGGAATTATGAACATTCATCCTCACTCCCCAACTGTGTGGGTAAGGTAAATTCCACTTGCCCTCGAAATTATGGGGAGGACGTGGAACAAACTGTGTTCAACCAAGGACCCAGGAAGGGAACACTCTGCATTTGGAATCATGAGGAGTCAATGGGCCCTCTTCCATGAACAATGTACTAAACCAATATTGATCAAAAAGAAGGACCACACTCAACCCAACTGGATAGTCGAGTGTCAAATCTGAACCGGTATTACAAGTAGGCTCCAGTGTAGGCTTTTTTTTTTACAAGTAGACAAAAAAATCAAAGACAGCCTTTTCTACAGTGGCTTCCTTTTTGTTTATTTTATTTAAAGACTGTGTTTATTACAGATGATTGGAACAACACTTAGTTAGGTAAGTTTGTTTTCTTAGATCAAAGCAATATTAGGCTATCTGCTATGTCCACTATAGGGAATGGAACCCAGGAGCACTGAGAAACCAACAGACTAAAAGAAGGTGCGGGGAAACAGCAAATCTAAATTATCTCCAGAATGTTGAGGATTGCCCTCAATTGTATCCTTAGAGCCCCTGGAGGAACACCATGTAACCAAATATATGTCTCCATCTCATTACAAATAAAATCACTGCCAGTCTCAACTGAGAGTGACCCCTCCTGGATTTTTGTGTTATGCTAGATGTCACAGGTGGGATAGAAGAGACCTGCCTCTGTGCCGGAAATAATAACCCGGGAATTCATTACCACAAGTCAGATTGCCAATCAGAATTTTTTTTTAAAATCAACTAGGTAACATGGAGAATGCTCAAAGTTTCTCTTTACGATCATAGCACTGGGAAACCCATTAGTGACGCTTTTTCGAGAAAAAGTGATACCATTATCTGAATGAGGTACAGATATACAGTACTAGGATAGAGGGTGCGGGTGTGCATTGACATAGGTGGAGAGTGTCATGAGAGAAATATCGCCAAAGGCAATTAAGTGGGATATAAAAGACTGGAGCAAGTAAGACTAATAACTGTAAATGTGAGAGAAGGTAAGCATGTTTTGGAACACAAGCAGATGACCACTACCTGTCAATACTAGTTAACTTCAATCATAGTGTACTTTCTCTGAGATTGAATCAAATGTTTGCTGCCATAGATGGTTTGAAATAGGTTTATAAGATTGGACTGTTTGTCTGATGTTCAAAGCACATTCTACTCACAATTTTTTTTTTTTAAATCATATACAAATGTGCCAAAAACATGTTCAGTATACCATACATGTGTGCAGTCACACTTCAACTTCATATAGAAGCTTTTTAGAGAAGAATATGGAACCATATCCAACCTGATTTTCAAACAAGGATGTGCCAGTAATAGAACTATGATGTAGGTAGAAATAATTACTAATGGATATACCGAGATCTATATCCTGCCGAATAGTACTGTTAATACCCATACATAATAAGAACTGCATCCCATAGGTCTTTCATAAAAATTTACACATGTGAATTCCACAGGTGCTGAAAGAAGAAACTAAACAACATTACTATGTTCAAGAGATTTGTTTTAGTTCTGATTTTTTTTCTCTTTGTTTTCTCCAAGATCCTCATCAGAATCATCTAAGTTGACACAGACTTTACATCAGATGAAGTTCACATAAGTTCTTCCTCTCTTACAGTTTTGTATCCAATAATCTCCAATTTCTTGAAATCATGAAATATTTTCAATTTGAATTTTTTTATCTTTATCTGCCATCTTCTCCATTTGTTTCATGAATGATCACAATGAATTAAATATTTATTAATAAGCTGCTCAACACATTTATTAGATAACATGTTTCCACTTTCGTCAGGAATACTTAAAAATGTAATGTGACATGTGCCTGAATAATGAATATGGCCTTTCACACATGCAACAAATAGCATATGTAACTAAAATTACACGTGTGACAGCACACCTCAAATGGAAAGGACTGATCCTGTGACACACTGTATTGCCATATGCTGGTAAAACTGGCCCTGACTTAAGCTTACAGACGATAATGCCAGATCTCACCCAGCTAAACTGGTTGACACATTTTTGAAGAAGAGTGAACTGGCCAAAGAGAATGTCTTTCGCACTCATTGGACACAAGTCTATCGAGTACATATGATGTGCTGTCTGGAGATACATAAATGACTGTAAAGTGAGTAAGAACACTTCAGGATTTTATCAATGCATTGATTTTAAGCATACAAAATTAGAACCAGGCTGCCCTGTTTTTGGTGACCATATTCCACATGACCTGTAAAGACAGAGTTTCTTTTAAGCAATTTGAATTTACAAGTGTAGGCTGAAAAATCAATAATTTACATTTTATATCATGTGAATAATCATCAGATGCCTGAGTTACAAGAAAAATAGCAGGGAATGGCAATAACATTAATTTAAAATAGTAGTTATTCTTTAACTGTTTTGTACAATGCACTTTTTAGTTTTATAAGCCTTCTTTCTGAAGATATATGCCTAGACTTATTCCTTCTCATCATTACTGAATAATTGTATTTATATACAACTAGTAAGTATTCATAAAATAGTCATGTATACTTTTCAGTAAATAATAAATAAAACTCCATAACACCAGCAATGATCTATTTATATTTAAAAATGACAAATCTGTTACTCTAAACATAGCTTGGGATTAATGAAGTAGTTACAGTACAATGTTTTGTTGTTTTTCTGATTGTCTATGAATCTTCAATAAATGTAAGATGAAGTGCTAATTTAACTCATTTTTGTATCAAAATTTCCAAATATATGTTCAGTCACGAATGAAGCTTTAAGAAATTTACAATAATTTTTTTTTGGAGTTGCAGAACCAAATTATCAAATTGGCTAAACTGGGTTATTCAACTAAGTGTCCTTAACATTCATCTAATAGTTTGGTTCATATAAGGATTTTGTCAGTGTTAGAAAGATTCCCTTATCCAAATGAATCATGCAGAGGATTTTACTTTTTTATATTTTTTATTTTGCTGCTGCTGCTACTAAGATGTTTGTTAAAAACTTTTTATTTGCTTACTGTCAGATGATCTAACAGGCCCAGTGTAATGCACTAGTATGAACAGGACTAAGATCAGATTAATCTTTTTCTTTACTATGAGGGTTCTATTCTTGCTAAATATTGAATAATTATTATTGACCCAAGGGCAGACTGTTGGTAAGGCCATTAAGCATAAAGTCAAAATTGGAATTTATTTAAACTACCAGATAGGTTATTTGTCTTAAGAGAAACCAACAGGGAACGGAATATATTTATGAGTATCTAAATAAGAGACAAAAGTAAACAAATCTAATTTTAAAATAATTCAGCTTAACATTAGAAATATTTTGCAATTATTAATCAACAAAATACACTCTTTGAAAATGATAAAAAAAAGTTTATATTGCATCTGAATGAACAGAAATAATTAAAACCTGTTACTTGGCAGGTAATAATAATAATAAACAAAATTTTCAAACTCACACTCTCAGTATGAATAGGATGAACAGCATATCATAAAACATATATTTATGAGTATCTAAATAAGAGACAAAAGTATGCAAAGCTAATTTTAAAATAATTCAGCTTAACATTAGAAATATTTTGCAATTATTAATCAACAAAATACACTCTTTAGAAAATGAATAAAAAAAAAGTTTATATTGCATCTAAATGAACAGAAATAATTAAAACCTGTTACTTGGCAGGTAATAATAATAAACAAAATTTTCAAACTCACACTCTCAGTATGAATAGGATGAACAGCATATAATAAGGCACAGAGAAAGGATGCACGAGGAGCTCTGTCTCCAGATAAACAAGACTGAAAGAAGACAGCAAAGAGTTGAAAAGACAACATGGAGACAACACCATGTAGAACAATATTAATGAGATGAAATCCAAATGGGTGTAAGCCTCCACTGAAAGCACAGTTCCACCTGATATGTAAAAACAAACAATGATATAAAATTTACAAGAAAAATAAATCTAGACAAATAAAATATCACCTTTTCTAACCAAGTAAAATTATTTACAAAAATTTAAATACTTCAAATGACTCCTCACCCCAGTTGCAGCTTAAATATTATGGATAAAAAGTCCTTTAATTAAGAAAATTTATGCATTCATATATAATGAATGGCTTTAAACTATACTGACATAAAAGTTTAAAACAATTTCCATATGCTGTACCAAATCTAATTTGCACAAAAACAAACTATAAAAGCCAAACAAGTACTTTACAAGACCAGTTTCAATTTATTTGTGACTCACAGTTGTTAACAAACAATTACTCTTGTTCTTAAACTAAGCCTGAAGTAAGTATGCGAATATACAGAACCAAAAAGATTCATGATATTAGTTTATGAAGTATTTCTTATTCTGAATACTTTTCTAACTGCAACAAGAATCAGATAAAATGCATACTGTTCATGCAGTTACCATGTAGGGCAGTTAATAAAGTTATTATAGATATTAATAAGTTTTTGTTACTTCTGATACCCTACAAACATATACACAACCACAACTAAAACTTTTTGTTCCAGATAGTTTTCTTGTTGCTGTTAATAACAGAAACTTAAAACACTGTAATGAATACAATTAATTTTAATCCCTAGTTAAAACTAGTAGGTTTGTCAAAAACACATACACAAGGCTCACTTATAACATCTAAAGAATGCTATCTTTATACATGAAATTATTCCACCTGATAAAATCTAAATTGTTACAAATCCTTCTGATGTAAAAGTACATCCTGAAGTGAGTTTGTTATACCTATAGAGCAACTGCTTTATTAATATATCAAATTCAGTGACATCATTAGCTGATCAAGGTCTTTCACAGACTACAGAATATTCATGATCCCCTGTTTGCCTTAGGCTAAAACATCAGTCAGATCTAACTCTTACTTGATGGATATAAAAGGAAGTAGGGGATGAGAATTGTGTTGCTGAAAGTACTTATTTCAAATTTTACTACAAAAAATATAACATTTAAATAAAATGTTACCTCTTGAACCATATAATACAAAAGTACCCATAATAAGAAATAGGAAAGGACAGAATGAATGGAAAGACAGAAATGAAACAAACATGCACTAAACAACCCTAAAGTCAACTGCAGGAGACACTTGAGAATTAATGTACATGGAGGACAAGTGAAGCACAAATGATGTGAAAAACTATTTTGCCCAAACAGTTTAAGCCAAAAACCATGTCTAAAGGGTTAAATGTACAACTATCTCAACTACCTTGGACACAAACATCTTGGAGATAAAATAATAATGTGAATCTGGTTTATGCTAATATATATATAATTTTAAAATATTCTATATAATTTTACTTTACAAAGACAGAGAAAACTAAACAAGAATGCAAAAGTATCCAACAACTAAAGTGACATGCAATGTAAAAGCATTTCAGCTTACCCAAGGAAAGTACAAAAAGATGAAGAAATTAACACAATACAAGGAAAAGAAGAAGACAAAAAAGGCAAACCTCTACTGAGAAAATTTCTGTCAAAGAACCCCTGCTGCATAAGCACGGCATTATTTGTTTCACTGTGAAGACAGAGAAAATAACTGGCAAAAAAAAAGGGGGATCCAATGAGGATAACTTCCCGAAAAAGAACACAACAAATAACAGAAAAGAATATCCAAAGATCAGAACAACCTGAAACAGCCCAAAATAAAACAGACAATGAATAACTGGATGAGAAACTATCAGATGGAATATAAGGCTGTTCATATATGCAAAAAAATACATAGTACATACAAAGCAATTTGACTATAAGTCATTGCAAACAAAACTGGAACAGTATACAATCCTACAGGAAAATAACAGGTTTACTAAACATTCACTCTACTAGTTACAAAGAAGTTTACAATACACACAGTGTAATGTGGGATATACTAGCACCATTAACTCCAATTTGAATAACTGACCATCCCTGTCCCAAACTAATGAATCACAGAAAAAAAGAAACAACAAAGAGACAGTTATTTATTCCATGATGATTTTGAGACTTCTTTGAATGCAAAATTTGAAAGAGTTCAATGTAACTATACAGATTATATACAAAGTCCATCTATTTAATCTGAGCATAGGGTAAGGAGAGACAATAATGCTGTGAAAGTTTTTGAGACCATTATGCATAAACTTCTTGCCTTTAACAATTCTCAATTCAATTGAAAAAATTATGTTGGAGATGAAAAAGCAAACATCTGTCAATTTTTAGACAATGTTTATTTTCTAAAAAAACATTGATGTTAATGTTAAAAAAAAAAAAGTTAGTGTGCTTCACATATATGTACCTGAAGGTAAGGGTTGTCAATGGACGATATGATTTATGACTTGTGTTGAAGGTTAATTTCATCCCCCAGAAATCATTCCTAAAGATGTTTAGTACAGGTGTCTCTGGAAGTAAGTCACTGTTGTTCAAAATAGCTTCTGAATCATCAAATACAAAGTCTCCAGTAACACTTATACAAAATGATGCAACTGCCACTAGAAAGATCAACCAGTAAGACTTCAGGAGTACGAGTTCTGGAACAGGAATCCAAACATCCCATGGTATTTTTCTATGATGTGGGCTGTCATTCAGAAGATAATATGGCTTTGTTCCATTTCTGGAATACACCAACTTCGTATTGTTCCTGTTGTAATCCATGTTTACTGTTTAAGTTTTCAGAAGCATTAGCAAATTATGTTTCATTTCTTTTCTCAATCTTCTTAACCAGGACCTGAAACTATAATAAAAATTTATTCAAATAAGAACACTAATCAACCACCAAAACCTACCTTGAGTTGTCAACAGAACACTAGTTTACATTTCAAAATTGTTTCTGCTTACCATACAATAAGTGCACTTGTATTTCCAAAGACTATGAATTTTTTTGTTTTTGTTAAGCAAATCTACTTTGCCAACTCTATCTTTCAATGAAAAAATGTATATTGATTATTAAGGAATTTAAGCAATTTCCTTGTAAGATATTGTTTGATTTCTGGAGTAAAGTTAGATAAAATAAAACTAGTTTCAGATTGCCTTTTTTCTTTTATGTTTTTGATCCTGTCATTTCTGAAACACTATTCAGCTCTCTACACCACAAAGAGTTATTACCATACACACTGTGCCTTTTAATTTCCAGCGCATGCCACAAACCTTATACAAAGTTCCAACCCTTGCATGTGTTAAAATATGTTGCACCAGTATATGATGTAAACACCATTAGACTATAGCTCTCCACCATTAGGAGGATGACACATTTTCCATATGCAGTAATCTCATAGGCACTAGCACGTAAATACAGGTTCATTCTTTCCTCAGCACAGTTAGTTTTCAGTGATTTGTTTTCATTAGATTTACCAACATTTTTACACTTATTGTTTTAACCTTTCATTACTATTTGTCATGTAGTCTTTCATTCCTTGATTTTTTTACTTTTTGAAATAATGATGCTAACTTTTAAATTTACCAGTTAGGACACTTTCATTTGAATTATCTTCAGTTTGATTTTCTTTTAATTGACTTGTCTTTATACTTAAGTGTCAGTTATGTAATGAATACAGATGCTCTTATCAAGTGTTTATTTTTCTACTTTTCACCATTAGTTACAACTCAAATCACAAATGCCTTAATGATTAAAGACTACTGCCAGCCTGCAAGTTTTGTGCTATCTATTTATAAATCATACAAAATAAGCATTTTTACATTTATTGTTTTAACCTTTCATTACTATTTGTCATGTACTCTTTCATTCCTTGATTTTTTTTACTTTTTGCTTTTAATTGACTTGTCTTTATACTTAAGTGTCAGTTATGTAATGAATACAAATGCTCTTATCAAGTGTTTATTTTTCTACTTTTCACTATTAGTTACAACAACTCAAATCACAAATGCCTTAATAATTAAAGACTACTGTCAGCCTGCAAGTTTTGTGCTATCTATTTATAAATCATACAAAACAAGCATCAACTACATCTGCCTATGATTATTTTATTAGATACTATTATATAAATCATATCTGTTACTAATGTACAATGACAGTATGACCCCTTTAAAAATAAATGACACTAAAATGTGTAGAAGAACAATAATTCCTGACAGTGACAGCAACCTCTGTCCAGGTACATATGCTGTTGGAGAATGATTTCTTTTCAGGATGAAATCAGGTCATAAGTCTAAAAGAAAAATACATGAATATTCCTCTTAATATAGTCTCGTAACTTAAGTTATAAGACATAACAATAGCAAAACCGTTACAGAATAAATATCTTAAAAATAAAGAAAATATTCACACAAATAATGGGTCCCTCACATTGTTTTAATCCACTATCAGTATCCTTCTCTCACAAGACGTTAAATGCAGTGAGAGTCAGCAATGGGAATCAGTGCTAAACAAAATACCAACCTTGAAAACTAAAATAATGTGCAGAACCAAGAAGTTATCAACGAGGAGTGTCACTTGCTGGCCTAAATACAATGACAAGCATAATAAAAATTTACATCACACTCTTTAGTTTCAATAGTAAACGGGTGTATACTTACAGGGCTGAAATCAAACACACACATACAACATTTAACTTTGTACAAATCCTTTCTCGTGTGTTTGACAAAGCAAAAACAGTCGCCATGTATATAGAAAATGTGAGATAGTACGGAATAAGAAGGCTTAGCATCATCATATCATTACAGAAAATAACTTACCCAATTTTCGAAGTAATAATGATCTTAATTATAAAATAATATTTTATTTTATATTTACAGTTACTCACTCAGTTGATGAAATGCTTGATCCTTTCCTTTAGAAATACAGCTGTCAAAACGTACTGCTGAAATTTATTACAATTCATTTATCAAAGTTTCGTACCTATGCATAACGCCCTCTATATAAAATTCCACTACTTCATTTCATTCATAAGTTAATAATCACTTCGAAATTAAATATTTATAAACACATTTAAGAATGTATGAAATTCAAATTATTAAAAGCATCTCTTTCAGTATGCTCATACTAAGTACTAAAAAATTCTCAAAGAAGAGAAGTAATTAAGATATATGATCTCATATTGGGCAATCAACCGCATCTTAAAATATATGGGCACGGTATGGCTAAACTGAAGACTTTTGTTTTAATCGACGAAATCGTATGTCATTATTTTAACCCCCTGTGCTAATCAAGAATTTCTTATTCTAGCTTGTTTGATTGTTTCGAATACTCATGCAAAGCTACTCAAAAGGCTATATTTTGAACTGACAGACTAAAAAAAAAAAGGCAGCTAGGCAGCACCACCCACGCCAAATCTTTGGCTACTCTGATAAAAAAAAAGAAAAGAAAAGAAAGTGGGATTTGACGGTCATTGTTATAACGTATTCACAGCCCCAGTCCATTCTAACACAATTATAGTGTTAGACAATGATTTTATTTCTAAGAAATTATGAGTGAAAGCAAATAATAATATATATTACGAAATACCAACCAAATTACATATGTTATATTCAACGATGTTGAAGTATTTTGCCAAATACTAGGGCTTGTCAAGCAGGCTGGGCTGAGATTCGGCAGACACAATAGTGGCTCAGGCGTTATTTATATCACTAACTTTTTTTTAGGATGAATGACTGCTATGGTGTGAACTAGATTAAGTTAGTAAATTGCAATTCCTAATATTTTTATTTAAGTCATTCAGAAATCAAATTTTTAGAGAGTAAGGATTAATAACGCAATATTATTTATATATTTATTCTGGCTGCATTAACCCCCATCCGCCCAAGGGGGTCTTTTTAGACCCCTTACTTATATCATCAGTGATCCTTAACATTTGTTTTTCTTTTTTAGGTGTGACCTTCTGTTCGATAGACTGTTTGTTTGTAGTTAAGCACAAAGTTACACGAAGGGCTATCTGTGCTCTGCCCACCACAGGTATCGAAACCCGGTTTCTAGCATTGTAAGTCCACAGGCGTACCGCTGTGCCAATGGGGGAATGTTCGATAAACCCAGGCCTTATCATGAGTGCATCAAAAATATCTCTATTAATAACAGTCGAAGAGGCAGTGAAGGCAATACTAGAAAAAGGATTAGAATCGGACAGTGGTGGCTCTGGCGGTAATATCAGTGACTCAGAAAAAGTTCAAAATAATTGTTACGTCTCCGTTTGTTAATTGATTTTCCGTAAATTCGTTCCAACGAAACTTTAGCGACACAAGTCCTTACTTAATAAAACTGGTTTATTCTTTCCGAATATAACTTTACGATACACTTAATTTCAACAATCGCGCTAAAACAAACGCTATAACAACGAACGTGCTCAACTTCAATAAAAATTTCTCTCTGCAGATCAATTACTCACTACCTACACACACATTGTTCCGTCATGTTGTCACCCTCTTATATATATATACCAGACTACCCTATATCTAGTAATCTCCCGACTATTCCCGAAGGTTCGAGAGGTGGTGTGACACTAGTCACGTGACCTCGCTGACGCAACATAATTAAGATATGCTTATAGAAGAAATAAACTCTGAAACTGAAGATAATCACGAGAAAAATCCAAAGGATTCTAGTGATGAACTTGCAGGAAATGAATCTGGGGAAAACAAAAGTAGTAGTAAAGAGGAAGTCAACATCCAGGATAATTGACAACGTCTGGTTACATCTGGCAAGCAAAGCCAAGAGAAACAGGTCGTGCTAGAACCCATAATGTGTGGAGGGAAACAATGGGACTACAAGAAGATGGAAAAATGCAAAACATACATGATACACTAAATATATTTCTGTCTACTGAGACGAAACAAATGATTGTAAGCTTTACAAATCAGAAAGCACATGATGCATATGAAAAATAGAACAATGAGCATAATGATAACAATAATTGAAAGACATAGAGGGAATAGAACTTGAATTATTCACATGGTTGCTTATGTATGCAGGGGTGTTGCATTCAATAAATTAAGCTATTAGTGAACAGTGGAAGATGAAGGACTCTGGTCGACCAATATTTAGAATTACAATGGGATTGGGTGCTTTTAAAATATATTGAGGTTTCTACGCTTTGATGATTTTCACACAAGCACTGATCGCAGGAAGATCAACAAATTGGTACCATTTAGAGATATACTTACTCATTTTCAGGGCACATTACAGAGGCCATACAAACCTAGAGCAAACCTGACAGTTTATTAACAATTAGTGTCATTTCGTGGATGCTGTCCATTCAGGCAGTACACACCATCAAAATCTTGAAAGTATGGAACCAAATGGTGGCTTTGCTCAATTCAGACAATACTTATGTTTGAAGTTTAGAAAATTATCTTGGCAAACAATAAGTTCAGCGTGCAACAAAGAATGTTGGTAAAAATATGATAACCCAACTTACACGGTCTTATCGTGATTCTTGACGGAATGTTACCATAGAATTTTTTTTGACTAGTGTACCCCTTATAAAGAAAATACTCCAGCACAACCTAACCATTGTTAGCAACATCCGGAAAAATAAACCAGGTATTTCTAAGAATTTTCAACCATCAAAACAGAGATCAACTGAGTCATCAGTGTTTAGATTTGACAATAATCTAACTCTGGTCTCCTATGTTGTCCAAAAGGACAAAGCTGCAGTGCTCCTTTCATCTGTGCATTACACTGTAAGCAAAAATAATAATAGTGCCAAAGTTAAGCAAAAAGAATAATAAAGGACAATGATATAAGGATATGATGTATCACTAGTTCGAAAATGAGAATTTTTTTGTTTTATTTATTTTAAAGGGTCATTTTATGCCTGAATTATAGTCATCAAGCCTAAAAAGATCCCCCCTGTGAAGATTGAGTTGTATTTACCCTTCGGATGAGGGTTAAAAGTACACAGAATAGGTTCCTGACAAAAAAATATCATAATCCCAATGAATTGTAGGAAAAAAAATACTATATTCAAAACATTTTATATTGTGGATCAATTTAAAATGCACTCACTTTTGTAAATAAACTACTGAAACGTGCCTGTTTTAGCTTAAAAGTGAATTAAAACATTTTTATTTTGTTATAATTATTTTTATCATATAACGATATAGCTATAAAATATAGTATAACATGCATATAGAAGCAAGTAAAGGGTAATGTGTTTTATAGTATCTTTACTTTCAAAATGTTGTAAGAAATAGAAAGCATAGTCATAAGAACATATGACTAAACAATCAATACCATAACTTTATACTGAACTCCTCCTGTGGAACAGTAAACAATTTATTCTTCGTTTTCCTGAGAAGAATGATTTTTCATTTTTAACCTTTAGAAACTGGTTTATCAAAGAATTTTCGCCGTAACTGATACAAGAAGTATTTGTTGCATATCTGCTTGTTTGTTAATTTCCGGCAGAAATTATTTCCGAGGAACTTCAGAGATACAAGTCCTTTCTTGATTAAATCAGTTTTATTCTTTCTCGATACAAACTTTTAGTACACAGTAATTCCACAGTCAGTACGTTTCTCGTCACTTTCAAC